GGGAGAGAGAGAGAGAGAGAGAGAGAGAGAGAGAGAGAGAGAGAGAGTAAACTGGTCCCATAACACTAACATTTTCATGAAAGGAGAGCCTGCAAGGGCACAGCACTGAGTACATGTAGCCAAAATATAAGAGTACAAAATCAGCAAGTAAGGATATACAACTCACATGAGAACAAACAAACCAAGTAACAACATATCCTTCCTTCCTCACATTGTATCCACTGCACGTGAATGCAAAAGATGACTGGTGGTGTTTTCGAGGAGGAGATTTGAATTACAATTCTTTTATTTATTTATTTATTTATTTATTTATTTTTATAAAAAATTAAAAAATTATTCTCAACATATTAATTTTTTTATTTTATATTTTAATTCAAAAAATAAAAAACCAACCAATCATAAAAATTGGACAAATATATATATATATATTTTTTAATCAAAATCCCCAATTTAAACGATCCGTTAAGTGCCCCATTCTACCGACGGAGGGGTAATCTGTAACTAGAAACCAAAACAACCGAGAGGTTCCTATCATTTTTGTAACATCCAGAGGATCCCCGGGCTAAAAAAATTAAAATAAAAAAATGGACTTTGTAATTTATCTATTTATATTTTAAAAATTAAAAAAAATTGATGTTTTCACAAATAATTACAAATTCATTAAAAAAAATTGGTTGATTTTTAGAAAGTCCTATTTCTAATTGTTATATTCCATTTAATCCATCTACTTTTTTAATATTTCATAAGGTCCAAATCACCATTTCAACTTTTTGTGCATGTTTTCATTTTGAAATTAATACACAATAAAAAAATAACAACAGTCCCTCATTCCATGGAGAAAATCTCTTACTTATTCCATAGAAAAAATCTCTTACATTTTTAAAACCATAAATCTTCTACCTTTTGAAAATATGTTACTAAATATTAATGTGTATTTTCATATTACAAATGTATACTGGTATACACTGTGAACATTCACATTGTTTATGCTAGTGTATAACTATTTTTTTTAGTGTGAATATTAACATTAATTGTGATTTATTGTGAGTAATATATGGTTAATGTTGTCATGTTATTTTGGTATTATAGAGACATTATGAGCATTCATATTGTTAGTAATTGTTTGTTATTGTGTGCATATAACTATTCATAAATGTTGAGTTGAACATTCACATCTCTATATTATATTACCAAGATGTACAATATGTTTTGACCAAAATATCACATTGTTATTTACATTTGTATGACTATTTCTAAATGTAAATATTAACATTGATTAAAGATGTGATAATCACAACACCAATGCGAACTTTCACACCATGTAATAATCATGAAAACTCATACAATAATCAGTAATATGTAAATGTGAATATTCACATTATGCAACAATCATGCAATCACTAGTTTACATTGCACATCATGCAACCATCACATGTTTCTAATGTTGAAGTTCACATCACCAAATTCAAAACATTAAAATCTAATAATCCACAATAATGACTTTAGTGGATGTGCATGTTCACATTTACAAATCTAATTAATAAATGTTCATATACAAAGATATATAATATCATATCAATTCATCTCCAAACAAAAAGTCGAATCTAACTTTAATAAATTATTAAACAATTCTAAACATACATCCTTTCTAACACATACTTATATGTAGTTGCAAAACAAAAGCGGTGCTAACCTTGCCCCTATGATATCTTAATAGAAGAAAATAGAGTTTCAAACTGTATGGAAAAGCACAGAGTTTTGAATTGTAATAATAGAAGAACACAAAGTTTCGAATTACAACAATAGAAGAATAATGATGACAATAGTGATGATGATGATGATGATAAGCTTCTTTCTAGGTTTCTTTTATTTTGTTTCTTTCTTTTCCGATCATCACACAATTCATCTCTCTAAGTTTTTGTTGTTTTGTGATTTTTTCTAATTCTCAAACAAGCAAATTAGAGAGAGAGAGAGAGGAAGTTTCTTTGTGCTCCAAGATTCTTTTTCAACCATGTTTTCTTGTCAATATTATAATTTAATAATATATATTTAGTTTTTAAGGAAACCTATCCCACTAATTTCAAAATAGTCAAAATAGAAAAAGAAAACAAGAAGATTACAATTGTGTGTAATACTTACTATCAAAAATAGAACAAAGGGTATATTAGTCCTAAAAATATTACTATAAATAAGGGGAGAAAAAAAGACTTTCTAGGATACAAGTCTAATTAGATGGAACACAAGAAAATTTTATGAATTGATTGGGTTATAAGTCATCTAAATGGGATTTATAAATAAATTTCTCAAAAAAAATTAAACTTGTGTTTGGTAGAGTTTTCTAAAATTAATTTCACCCTTATATTCTAATGTTATATTTGGTTTAAGTTTTCAAATTATGATTCCAAATCAATATCAAAATACATTTTGAAAACATGTTTGATAGACCAGACAGTTTTAAAATTTTTGGTCTACCCGGTTGTCTGGAACAATACTTTTTTTTTTCTTTCAATTGCCAATTGCCAATTGCTACCTGTTATTTGGGGGGAAAAAAATTATATTTATTTTTAATATTTTTTAAATATAGAAATTATTTTTTAAACCAAAATGACAAATTATTTTTTTGAATTGAATTTTAAAAAGAGTTTGGTTATGAGTTTTAAATAGAATTTTCAATAAAGTTTTGAGTTATGTGTTTGGTTATGAATTATAAGTTTTTCAATTAACTCGTTTGGGAACAGACTAATTTAGTAACTTTTTGGCTATTTAGCTAAAATATGAGTTAAAAAAAACTAGTATGTTTGGGATGACTTTTTATCTTTTTACGAAAAGATGTGCAAAAAAGATAGAGAAAAGAGAATCTTTGACTTTTTGGTATGAGTTGTTGACTTTTTGGCTAATTTAGAGTTTTCTTGGTTGTACTATTGCTTTTCATTTTTATAACAGTTTACTTTTTGCTGATGAAAAAAGAACAAAATATTTCGCCGACATGATTAAGTAATATAAAGAAGTCATTATTCCATAAAGTAGTTTACACTAATACACATTCATAATAAGCAGCTCTTTTACTTTTAATCATGGCCTAAAAGAATTCAAAGGTAGGCATACAAGATAATGATATTTACTTTCTGTCTCTCTCTCTCTCTCAGTGTGGCATGCAGCTACCCAAGGTGATATTAAAGTGACCAGCAAGATGTGTGCGCAACATTGAGATACAAACAAGTGTGAGAAGTGTTGTGTACAATTATCTTGTATATTTGAGTGTTATTAATAAAAATTGTATAATTTTTGGTTCCACTAGTATGTCAAACTCAACAAAGCATGGACTCAAGTTGTAAACATTTTACACCTTGTACCAATCAAAAAATGCTTTTGAAATAAACGCTAATGATTACTAGAGAATTTCTCCAAGGAAATGTCAAAGTTCAATGAACAAAATGCCACTATAATAATATGATAAAGAGAAAAGCATGGTCTACGAATGAATTAGTATTGATGAAACCTTTAGTTCGTTAGTAATTAATTAGAAAAAAAATATTTCACACTACAACTCTTTGTTCGCAAAGTCAAGGCGGTCATGAACTAGCTGGTACGCTCACTATAAAATAGCACATACCGTTGTTCAAATCATGCACTGCCAATCTTCTTTTTCTTTACTCTCTTTGTTTCTTCTCTGTTTTGTTCTACAATGGCCTTTTCTCAACTCTCTCTTTCGTTCGTGTTTGCAACTTTTCTTCTCTTGCAATCTCAAGGGGAAGCAGCAACGTGCAGCGACTGTTTCACTCATTCTCGAGCAGCTCACTATCCAAATTCTGATGAACATGGAACAGAAAGTGAGTGTTCAAACTCTACAAACATGCACACATAAAAGCATTAATATATATATAGACATAATTTGCTCTTTATTTACTGCTAAACTGCATCATGGTCTTAAATAGCATCCAATACGTGTTGATTTTTTAGCCTCCTGGTTCTGGTGCGTAGATCCCGGAAAGCTCCGAGCCCGCAAGTGTTCTGGGACTCATTAACGGAGCGACTTCTAGATTGCGTCTGAATCCGTTCGAAGCCAAGTACTTCGGATCTCTAGATTCGTGGATCCGAACCCTTTCGAGTCCGAGTGCCTCGGATCTCTAGGCTTGCTTAATACCCTTTCGAGTCCGGGGCCGAGTAAGTCTCTAGGTTCGTGGATCCGAACCCTTTCGAGGCTTAGAGCCATTTAGCCCGTTTGATGGTGATAAATCTGGTCCCGCCAGTCTTGGACTTGCGATAAATTCGGGCCCACTAATCTTGGGCTATTGGGCCTAAATAATTTAGCCTCCGTTTGGGAAGTGGGTTGGCTTTTTGGCTTTTTGGCTTTTTTGGCTATTTTAGCCTGGGCTAAAAAGCTTGGTTTGGGAAGGGCTTTTTGGCTTTTTGACTTTTTGGCTTTTTTTTGTGAGAGAAGAGTGTAATGATTATGGATTGGATGTGATGTTTTGTTTGTTGTGGCTAAAATAGCCTGTTTTGTCTTTTGTGGCTATTTTAGCCCCAACCCACTTGCCAAACACCACCTAAACCTATCCTCCAATCTAAAAATAGTTTTTAATATTTAAAAAAAAAAAGCAATAAAATAATATCCAAAGAAAAAAATAACACTGTTTAATAATTTTTAACAGGAGAAAAAATCTTGATATTATCAAATAAAATAAAAAAAATTATTATAATTATTCAAATCACGTGTCTGTATTTGTCAGAAATATGTTTAAGAGGTAAATGTAATTTACCCTAAAAAAAATATCAAAATCACACTTCTCCATCGTCCCCTGTCCCTCTGCATACTGAACTCTCTCAGTCACTCTCTTCTTCTTCTCTCTCTAAAATCCATTGCTGAGAGAGAGAGAGGAACCCAGAAAAATGCGTTTCCTCCTCCTCTTCCTCCTACTCCAGTTCCATCTCCACAGCTCCGCCGCCGCCAAACCAGGTCGCTTACCGGAATACCTCGCTCTCCTCTCCTTGAAAACCTCAATCATCGATGACACCCAATCATCTCTCTCCAGCTGGAACATCTCCACCACCCACTGCACATGGTCCGGCGTCACGTGCGACGCTTTCCGTCACGTGAGCTCCCTCGACCTCTCCGGCCTAAACCTCACCGGTACTCTCTCCTCCTCCATCGGCCACCTCCGGTTCCTCCTCAACCTCACCGTCGCCGCCAACCAACTCTCCGGCCCCATTCCGCCGGAGCTCTCTCTCATCTCCGGCCTCCTCAACCTGAACCTCTCCAACAATGGGTTCAACGAAACCTTCCCTCCTCAACTGGCTCTTCTCACAAACCTCCAAATCCTCGACCTTTACAACAACAACATGACCGGTGGCCTCCCAGTCAATGTCTCCCAAATGACCAGTCTCCGCCACCTCCACCTCGGCGGCAACTACTTCTCCGGCGAGATTCCGCCGGAGTATGGCCGATTCCGCTCTCTTCAATACCTCGCTCTTTCCGGCAACGGACTCGTCGGAGCTATTCCTCGTGAAATCGGAAACATATCGACCCTTCAACAACTCTACATCGGGTATTACAACAATTTTTCAGGTGAGTTACCTCCGGAGATCGGAAACTTGAGCCAACTGGTGAGATTGGACGGAGCGAGCTGTGGACTCTCCGGCAAGATTCCGGCGGAGATTGCCAAGCTTCAGAACTTAGACACTCTGTTTCTACAAGTGAATGGGTTTTCGGGATCGTTAACGAGTGAACTGGGTTACTTGAAGAGCTTGAAATCTATGGATCTGTCAAACAACTTGTTTTCTGGGGAAATTCCGAGTTCGTTTGCTGAACTCAAGAACTTGACCCTTCTGAATCTGTTCCGAAACAAGCTTCACGGGTCGATACCGGACTTCATCGGCGATTTGCCGGAGCTAGAGGTGTTGCAACTCTGGGAAAACAACTTCACTGGAAGCATTCCTCAAGGGTTGGGATCGAATGGAAAGATTCAGTTCGTCGATCTCTCTTCCAACAAATTGACTGGAATTCTACCTCCCAATATGTGTTTTGGTAATCGACTCGACACCCTCATTGCCTTAGGCAATTTCTTGTTTGGTCCCATTCCAGAATCGCTCGGTCAGTGTCAATCACTGAATCGAATTCGAATGGGAGAGAATTATCTAAATGGGTCGATTCCAAAGGGACTCTTGAGCTTGCCTGTCCTCACCCAAGTTGAATTTCAGGACAATTTACTGTCAGGCCGATTTCCGGAGACAGATTCGATATCTGATAGTCTCGGACAGGTTACTCTGTCCAATAACAAGCTCACCGGTTCTTTGCCGGCGAGTATCGGCAACTTCTCCAGCGTTCAGAAGCTTCTTCTTGATGGGAATCAGTTTTCGGGTCCCATTCCTCCCGAAATCGGGAAATTGCAGCAGGTTTCGAAGATCGATTTCAGCGACAACAGCTTTTCAGGCCCAATCGCGCCGGAGATCAGCCAATGCAAGCTACTGACTTTCATCGATCTCAGTCAGAACCAACTCTCCGGTGAAATTCCCACTGAAATCACAACCATGCGAATACTGAATTACTTGAATTTATCGCGAAACCACTTAGTAGGAACCATTCCCGGGTCGATTGCAACAATGCAAAGCTTGACTTCTGTTGATTTTTCGTATAATAATCTATCTGGGTTAGTCCCAGGCACTGGTCAGTTCAGTTACTTCAATTACACTTCGTTTCTCGGCAACCCTGACCTCTGTGGACCATATTTGAGCCCTTGCAAAGATGGGATTAGTAATAGTACTCACCAAGGACATGTTAAAGGCTCATTCCCAGCTTCATTGAAGCTCTTTCTTGTTATTATTCTGCTAGTATGTTCAATTGCTTTTGCAATTGCTGCAATTATAAAAGCCCGGTCGATCAAGAAAGCGAGCGAGGCTCGTGCCTGGAAGCTCACGGCTTTCCAACGCCTCGATTTCACCTGTGATGATGTCTTGGATTGCTTGAAAGAAGATAACATTATAGGGAAAGGAGGTGCTGGTATTGTTTACAAAGGGGCAATGCCCAATGGTGATCAAGTTGCAGTGAAAAGGTTGCCTGTGATGAGTCGTGGGTCTAACCATGACCACGGATTCAACGCGGAGATACAGACCCTAGGGAGAATTCGACACCGCCACATTGTTAGGCTATTGGGGTTTTGTTCAAACCATGAGACAAATCTTCTGGTTTATGAGTACATGCCTAATGGGAGCTTAGGTGAAGTGCTTCATGGCAAGAAAGGGGGTCATTTGCTTTGGGACACAAGGTATAAGATTGCTGTGGAGGCCGCGAAAGGGCTTTGCTATCTTCACCATGATTGTTCACCATTGATCCTCCATCGAGATGTGAAGTCAAACAACATATTGCTTGACTCCAATTTCGAAGCCCATGTTGCTGATTTTGGACTTGCCAAGTTCATGCAAGATTCGGGCACTTCTGAATGCATGTCTGCCATTGCTGGTTCCTATGGATACATTGCACCAGGTACAATTCAAACCCAAAAACTTTGTGTTTCTGTTAATGAAATTGGAACTTCAAAAACTGACATTTTACACGCATAAAATTAGTACTGTTTTGGTTGAGCTATTTGTGATCATACATTGATTTATTTGTATAGTTTATGTTTTTTGTGGTCTCTAAGTTGAGTTTGATGTTTCTATTAACATGATATGTGATTCGTTGTCGTCTTTGAAACTCTGTGTGTTTGTAGCAATCAGTCTCTTTCTTTGGCTTTGGCATTGAATGACTATTGGTAAAAATGACTTTGTATTTGTTTTTTGGACTTATAGTTCACCAACTGATAGGTCTCTTGCCCACAAATGGGGCCTTGGATATGAAAATGATTTCCAACCACTCTAGTACTGTTTTTGTTGCCATTTTAAAAAATACTACTTTACTGATATTGAGAGCAAAACTCAAAGCTGCTTTTGCTTCCACAAAGCAAGATATACGTGTATTTGAAATGTTGTTCAACCAACTTTCTTCATTTCTAATCATCTACCAAAACTTACTTCCCTTGGATTTGAACTAACTAAGCTACTATTCTAGACTTTTGATTAGTCTATTTCCATTTTTTATTGAAATTGAAATTTGTGTATTTGCAGAGTATGCCTACACACTTAAGGTTGATGAGAAGAGTGACGTCTACAGCTTTGGCGTGGTTCTCTTAGAACTTGTTTGTGGCAAAAAACCAGTTGGAGAATTTGGTGATGGAGTAGACATAGTGCAATGGGTGAGAATGATGACGAATGGGAACAAGGAAGAAGTCCTAAAAATCCTCGACCCAAGACTTGCCACGGTTCCCCTCAATGAGGTAATGCACGTCTTCTACGTGGCAATGCTGTGTGTGGAAGAACAGGCTGTCGAACGCCCTACAATGCGCGAAGTTATCCAAATTCTAACAGAACTTCCAAAGCCAATCAACCCAAAACAGGGAGACTCGGTGGTCACAGAGTCGTCCTCATCATCACCAGCCAATGCTTTAGCGTCTCCCTGGGCTGAAAGTAAAGATACAAAAGAACATCATCAGCAACGGCTACCTCAATCACCGCCTCCTGATCTTCTTAGCATTTGAAGGGGTTCTATTGGGATGAGTGTTTGCTTTAGTTTTCCATGAATATTGGGTAACTTAAAGGTGTTTGCTTTGTTTTTTCTTCTCTTTCTTGGGTGTGATTTTGGAGGGTGTTTGGGGTAGGAGGGGGTTTTTACTTTTTAACTTTTAATTTTTATCTTCTTTTTTTTTTCGTACAGTAAATTGTGTTTCATGATGTGCTCTTTGCTAATTCATGTTTATGATTTCATTTTTCATGGAACTGCTGTTTTTGGTCAACACCACAGCAACAAAGAAAATTATAGCTTTGGGTTGGACTATGGATAAATATAAGAGCCATAATGCTATGATTAGGTGCAAGCATATATACGTGACTCTCAGTCCAATGGGTTGGATTATGGATAAATATATGGAGGAGGATTTCTTCCAATTCAGATTTTGGACGGAAGGACATTGGCCTTGTTTGGTGTAGCTGTTAAAACAGTTTATAGATTATAACTGTACGGGAAAGAAATACACCTTCTCGTATAATCCTGTTGACCAAGTTCACGCTCCTCCGTACGACGTCGCTTTATCACTTGAAAACATCAACGTGAGCTAGCCGGCGGGTGTGTGCCGGAAACCTCTCCGATGTCTAAGTCAGTAAACTTGACAAATAGACAAAGCTCTATGTTTTCAGAAAGCAAAATTGTGTTACCTCCACCAAGGTGATGTTTGTGAGCTTTTATAAGTTTCGAATGGCACAATCCTAGTAGGACTTTTATTCCTCCATGCAGAGTCCTCTTAGGATTCGTACTCCTAAAGATAATGCTTATCCTTTTACACCTCCCCACTGCTTAAACCAAGTGGGATGGTTTTTACTTTGGCCGAACTACGATATGACCGAAATAAGCTTGACAATGCAGAGCCATTGAGTAGGTCGAACTATTCTTAGTTCGGTTCTACTTTTACTCCTCATCTCGGTTCTCTGCTCAACCCATAGCACAGCTGGACCAAACTTAACAAATCGCGACCGGTATTACTCCTAGGTCGGTCTAACTCAAAAATATCGCTAGACCGACCTATTCAAGATACATCACGACCGGACTAACTCTGAGACCGACGTAGCTCCAACTTGCCCAGACTAAAGTAGCTTTTACTATTCTTGAGCCGAAGTAACTTTGTCTTTCTTGGGCCGGAGTAACTATTTCTATTGGGCCGGAGTAATCATTACGGCCTTTTTACTCAGTCGTTCGTACTTTGGGCCACAAAGCCCAATTCACAGCTCGGCCCAATTTTTCCCAAAAATTACCCTCTCAATTGCCCCTTAATTCCATCTGCACAGCATGATTGAGATTACAAGTCTTCCAACCGAGCTGAAGTTCTTCAAGCCTTTCCAGCCGAGCTAAAAACCCTTTAGCGTATCCAGCCGAGCTAATTTTACTCCGAGCTCTGTTTTGTCCGGTCAAAACATCTCTTCAATCACGATTGTAATGCTTCCCTTTCCAATGACACGTGGCGGGCTCTTATAGGCTGGGGGCAGCTGTCACGCCGCCCTCGTACTACGAAATTTTTGAACAGTCCCGCCTTTTCTCCTTTCGTCCTTTTCACAAAACAACCCTACCCTTTCACTTTTGAATCACTTATTCTTCTATTCTTCGTCTTCTCTCTCTGTGCCTCCATTTCTTCACTTCCAAGCCCTTGCTTCTCATTGCTGCAACTGCTCCATCTCCAGTTCCCTCTTCTTCAAACTGGTAAGCCAATCCATTCTCTCCCTCTGTTTTGCTTTTGTATCCCATTTTCTATGTTTTTGCGAAACATATTTATACATTTTTGTTTTTGCTTCTGTACTTTCATGAGAAAACTAGTAGAACTCATGCGTGTATGAATTATCCTGTAGAAAACTAGTCTTGGATCCAAAATGATATAGCAACCGAACTAGGATACTGTTTGTCCTATATAGGTAGATCACCTTAGACAGTAACCGAACTAGAACTTGTAGAGATGACAGTAGCTTTAAAAAATATTCTGTTTCACCCTAGCCGAAATAAGATCACCGAACAAAGTTGGAATACATTAAACTAGGAACTTCAGTCTTCAACCGAGCTAAGCCTTTGGGGCTAAGCCAGCTTTCTTAGTTTTTATACCAAACTTAGAAAGCTGCCCCTAGAGGCTCAACCGAAGTATCAAAACACATAGCTTAACCGAATTAAGTCTTCGGGGCTAAGCCAGCTTTCTCAGTTTTTTAGACCGAACTCAAAAAGCTGTCCCCAGACGATGAACCAGTCTAACCTGCTCAAACCGAGCTACCAAACCTTTTGATGAACCGAGGTAGAACCAGTCCATTAGGCTGGAGTAGGACTCATATACCTTGCTTTTAATTTGTAGCACGGTCCAATGAAAATCTGTGCTTAACCCCTTTGTTTTCTACTTTGCAGACTTAGGTTACTCAGGCACTCCTGCGTGCGCTCAACCGAGCTACTGAGCACAATTTTTGCACCGATATAACTTATTCGTAAATTATACAACAAATGGGTAAGTATAGGTATCTAGTAGAGACCCCTGGTGGTATGGCCGAATTCCGAAGGGATTATGGCATTCCAGACGATGTACACCTTACCCTAGCCAAGCCGGATATCATACCCTAGGGCGAAGCAGGCTTTGTACCTTTTACCCTGCTTTCAATAATAGAGACCGGACTAAGGTTCCCAGTCCAACCTTTAATTTGTGAGTTTCTTAGGCAAACCAGACTATGCCCAACCCAGCTATCCACCAATACATACAAGATAATAATGGGTATAGCCGAGCTAAACCGCCAAGCAGGCCTGAACCTCGGTTTAGCCGAAATCTTCCACCAGTACTCCATAGGTTCCAAAGAAGATGGCTGGGTTTATTACCTTAGGATACGCCGCCGTAGAGAAAAGATAATACAAGACACGCCGGATAAGGACGTTAATGATGATGACTTTTTCTGGGTATCGGGCAATTTTGAAGATCAGCAAGCCCAAATCCCAGGCCGAAGTATAAACTGGAAGAAAGGAAAACCTGGTAGAGTTTACTTCGGTTTTATGTATGTTTTTTCTTGTACTTTGGTTTCAGATGTCATAACCGATCTAACAGTTGTATCCTCTTTGCAGACTCAGCTCATCTTGCTTCCTTGTATAGTTACCCAAATCTGAACCCCCTCCGAGCCGCATTACGGTTTAAAGAAAGGAGTTGGGCTAAGCTTCTAAACTTTGAGCCGACCTACAGATATAGCGGTCGCCGAAAAGCCCGAGTGACCGATTTCCTTCTTGAAGACGCACCAGAACCGGACCCAACCTTGCCCGAAATACGACTTGTCCCACTAACCGCTGAAGAAGAGATGGCAAAGAAAAGCAGAGTTAGGGCCCTTCTAAACGCAACAACCAGGGCCGAAGTACCACCATCAATCCAAACGCAGCCTGCCGTTGTGGCCCTCCCTTGTCAACAGCCTTCTTCATCTCGCCCCTCTAAACGCGCCCGATCTACATCGACCGAACAGCAACTTGTCGATGAGGTTGAATCCATCCCCCAAAGTCCTCAACCTACCCTTCAACCGGAGCAAACTGACCGAGTAGAATCTTCCAAATGGGCTCCGAAGCTAACCTTCAACGACCGAGATATCAAAGACTCTGATTCGGTTGCTGCTGAAAAAGATCATCAATTGGCCTTTAACCTGGCCAAGAGTGTGTGCCTTCCTAAAGATATGGAGCACCACCTAAAGCAATTAAACACCGAATTGAAGTCCATCAGGTCTTCATCGAAGTCCATGATTTTGGTAAGTAGCTCTGTCCTTTTTTTTGTCTAATTTTTTCAACTTTTACTTCGGCTTAAGGGAAGTCTTCGTTTTGTCAGGCCTTACAGAAAAACAACATTACTTACACGAAGGTCCAAGAGCTTAGAAAAACCACAAGGAAAGCAATGACGGAAGCCGAAGCAAAGGTGGCTGAACTAGAAGAAGCCGAAAAGAAAATGGCCGAGCTATAAACTGAGAACGGCCGACTTGCCGGTCTAGTTAGTTCGGCTGAAGCGGAGAAGCAGAAAGCCGCCATCGCTATGAAAGACAAGTATCTGCGCGAGTTGGTAAAGCTTGAAAAGAGAAAAGATACCGAAATAACACAACTGAAAAAGAACGCAAAGGGAGCCGAAAAGCTAGGCTATAAGAAAGCAGAGGATGCTTATGTCAAGCAATGCGATGCTGCCAAGGAGCTGTTCTTCAAGTGCGGCTGGAGGGCAGCCGTTGAGAAGCTCGGTCACGATCCACAGACCGAGGTTTTCAACGCTCCAGCCTACTTCATACCGAGCTCCCTTGGGGAGTATGCTAATGCCCTGCAATAGCAGTTTCTGGAAGACTCAGATTCCGACGACTCCTCTGCTTTTAAAGATACTCCAGTTGTCAGCGCGGACCCTTCAGTTCGGTTGGAGCCCGTGGTGGAAGACCTGACTATTGAACAACCGGGTGAAACCATGGTTCCAACCGAAACCATCCTGGCAACCGAGAGCGAGCTCCCTCTTGAAGCCGGTCTTCGACTTGATGGTGATGCGGCTTTCGATGCCGAAATTGAAGAACTTTTCTCTTGATTATGTACTTTTTCCTTTTGTTACCTTTTGTCCTTGTAACCGGGCTATGCTCCCTTTGTAATTACCTTTCAATGAATGAAAATTTTGTTTGAACTCTTATTCTGGTTTTGATTCGTATGCTTGCATTTGTAATGTCTTGAATGAAGATTTTTCTTGAACTCTCATTCCGGTTTTAGCTGGTTAAACTATGCTTACCAGCCAACCACTCCTTAGCCGATATATTTACTTCGGCTGAGGAGTATACAGTGTTTATTCCAGCTAACCATTCTTCAGCCATATCCTTACTTCGGTTGAAGAGTAACAAGAGTTGGTTTATTCCAGCCAACCACTCTTCAGCCATACCCTTACTCCGGCTGAAGAGTAACAAGAGTTGGTTTATTCCAGCCAACCACTCTTCAGCCATACCTTTACTTCGGCTGAAGAGCAACAAGAGTTGGTTTATTCCAGCCAACCACTCTTCAGCCATACCCTTACTTCGGCTGAAGAGTAACCAGAGTTGGTTTGTTCCAGCCAACCCTCTAAGTTAGTTTTTCCGGCTAACTTAGAATAATGTTTGGTTATTCCGACCAAACGTCCTGCAGCCTGGATCCTTATCCTGGGCTTAGGAGGGGTGTTGGTGTATTCCAGCCAACCTCTAAGTTAGTTTTTCCAGCTAACTTAGAAAAAAATGTTTAGTTATTTCGATCAAACGTCCTGCAGCCTGGATCCTTATCCTGGGCTTAAGAGGGGTGTTGGTTTATT